TAGTTGTTCCAAGCTAAAAAGCTATAGGTCCTCAAGTATTTCTCAAGCAATTTTCTATGCAAAAAATCTGTACAGATCAATCCAGTAAAACAAAATTTGGAGTAAGTTATAGTATATACAGCAGTCTTAAAAATCTCTCCATCGTTTGGTCTGCAAAATTCTTTCACTTCCAAATCTTTCAGTACTCTAATATTCAGTTTAAAGGGCTGGCTTGGATTAGTACACTCACGGTCAGATTTTGTACTTTTCGCGATTATGGTAGCAGCATACTGCAAAGTCCTAGGTGGTTTTGGCGCGGCTTAAGCACTTTCTATTAGTTTCGTACAAGTTTTCGTACAAGGCAACCCACAACTTAACGGGTAGCGTACAAAATTAGTATCTGAGTGCGAATCAACTTCGAGCCCACCCAGTTTGCATCAGTAACGCTTCGAACAATTTTTTGAAGTAAAAGACTGCAAATGATCAAAGTGGCACAATTTTATTTGAGAACACTTCGTGTGATTTTTCAGAAAGCGCTACCTCACTAAATTTCCTTCAAATAGATCTCATATAAATGGAAAAATAGGTACCCGTTCACAAATCATGTTTTACGAATTTCTCATCTGTTTGAATTTTGCATCTAATCTAATTCCCGGCCTAGTCTTAATCAAAAAGTTTGCTTTCCAACCATTTTAACCTAATATTTAATTCAGTTTTCTAGAAATGGAAATTAGAAAGGGCACATTACGGTGGGGCAGAATGAATTCAGAAGCCAATGCATTACAAGGATGGACAAACGGCGCCATCAATATCTGAGGAAGGATTGCGAAGCGAGGAAAGAAATACGACCAGTACAGAGAACTTGATTTCGAATGATTGATGGTGCCATGAAGAAGAAAGCAGGAAACGTAAAAGATGTGTTCAGAGGAGTAAAAGAATTTTTTTTATTAATAGAGGTCGTGCAGAAAGTGAGGAAAGAGCCTCAATGAGATAATAAATCGAAATATGTGTAAATTTGAGGTAAGACTTTGAAGTTTTACTGTAACCTTTACATCAAGCTACTAATAGTACATGTAAGCAGAACTGCTAGGACCCTCAAACGGTGGTATAGAATATTAAGTATATAAAACAGATAATGCGATAATATGTAACTGTAATTACTTCATAGATGTATTTTCCTAGTTCAGCCAATATCGTTATCTCGAACTT